TCCAGCTTTCCAATGATATAAGACACTTGAGTCTACGACATACGGTTTAGGAGTTATGAGCAGTTTCGCGCAATTGATTGCTGTAGCGCCACCTATAGGCCAATCGGGGTCATACTTTCTGAGGCTCTCCTCGATTTTTGTACTACCCTCTGACAAAGTTTCAGAGCTCCAGCACTTACGGTTTGTTCTGCACGATGCGTTTTACGGCAGAATAATAATAATAATAATAATAATAATAATTAAAGCTGCAAGCAGCATTTAGCGGTGTTCAAGCAGTTAAGGCCTTTAAGGCCGTTAAGCACAAAATCATCAAAAGACATTAAGTTTTATGTAGCAAGCATTATTTACCATGATATACTACATTTCAGTGTGATTTTTCATGATTTACCATGTTCCAGTATGATTTACCATGAATCTAACATGATTTTCCATAGTTTACCTTGATATACCATGTTATAGGATGATTTACCATGATATAGCACATTCTAGAATAATTTACCAGGATTCTAGCATGATTTACCTTTTTTACTATGATTTACCATGTTTCTGGCGTTATTTATTATGATTTACCACGTTGATAGCAATTATATGAAGCATAAGAACAATTGAAGTGATAAACTCTGACAAAATATGAATGTGTTATAATAGTAATTGTTATATAAGTGATTTTATAGTGTCTATATACATATAAATGCAAAAGCACATGTGAAAAGACTATTAATAAGAAGAGTGGCCAGCAGAGGGCAGTAGAAGACCACTTATTGGCTCACTTTCATTTTCAGCTACTTTGTTTCTCCAGTATTCTCCACTGAAGCAAACCATTTTTTTCATGTTAACTCCATAATGCATGCTTACACACACACACACACACATTTTTGGGATATGTTATTGTGAAAATCTGTTTTAATGGTATATGAGCATTTCACATATTTCTTTGCAATGTAATAATATAAAAGTAATTAAAGAAAATGCTTTAAGCATTTGTTTGTTAGCCAATGCTGAAAGCTGATAAAAAAGATTAAAAATGTCTAATGCTGCTGCTCCATCTAGTGGACAACAGTGCTATTACAGCCTACTTATACAATAGGCCATGTTTTTCATATAATTTAATCTACACACGCTCATTCTGATGTAGATAGAGACATTTGGAACTTCAGGAGCCAATGTGACTCAATTGTCACTTCAATAGACGATTTTTGACTAAATGTTATTGTAAATGTTAAAATAGTGAATTTATAAAGTCTAAATATTAATTATAGTTGAGTAGTGTGACAAAATGACTTTTTTTAAACAGCAGGGGGCAGTAAAATACCACTTATTGGCTGTTAGCCTTTTTCAAGCTGTTATAGCTGTTCTTGACCTTATTTTAAGAAGCTATGAGCATTTATTGAAAAGATATTGGCTTTCGGTCAAGGCTACATATTGATGTGACCCTATTATAGTCATCCAAATGAAGAAGTTATACATTTTCCTATAATTATTGTTCTAGAGAGTACAGAGCAATAGATGAATTTTGACAAAATGTGATTGTAAATGTTAAAATAATGATTTAATAAAGTCTAAATATCAATTATATATAAAAATATTAGAGAGTAGTATGATGAAATGACAGCAGGGGCAGTAAAATACCACTTATTGGCTGTTATAGCCATCCAAGCTGTTATAGCTGTTATAGCCATCCGATTTACACTCTATTATAGCCATCCAAATGAAGTAATTATACCTTTTCTGATAATTATTGATCTAGAGAGTCCAGATAATTGTACTGCACTGGTTTTAAACATTAATATATGAAAAATATAAGATCATAGATGGAAAAGACCATTTACAGCCAATACAGGCAATTTACCATAGGAAATGTATGGTTTTAAAGCTTTTCAACAGTTATAGCGCCACCTATTGTCCGATCTCCATGAAACTTTGCATGCTTCTTCAGCATGGTAAGACACATATGCTCATCAATTTTTGTGAAGTTCTGAGTTTTTATTTATGATTTATAGGCTTTTGAGTGTGTTTTGACACACCCCTTTTATAAATGACCCTGTTATAGCGAAGCGAAGGGCAAAGTTCAACTTTTTTTCAATAATTATTGATCTAGAGAGTCCAGAGAATTGTCCTAGACTGGTCTGGTTCCGATCGGGCGAAAAACCAGGGACTAGTTCGCAAAAGTAGGTTTTTAACATATTCATGAATATTTAATGAACAATTCGATTGACAGCAATGGTTCCAGAGGCAAAGTTGTTCAGCATGAGGAGATCTATCAAATGATATGCATTTTGTGGGGTTGTGTGCAACACCACGTGATTACAGAGCCGTAAAACTTGTTAGCGCCAACTAGTGGCCGATATCTTTCAAAACTCTTACAGACCTCTTGGGCCATGAGTCGAACATGCCCATCGAGTTTCGTTACGATTGGCCTCCGTTAACCTCATCTCAACTTCATTGGTCGATGGCGGCCATGTTTTTTGAGATACGCCAATGTCCTCTTACACATACATGGGGCCTTGGACCAAGACACTGCATACCAATTTTCAGGTCAATCGGACTAACGGTCAGCCCTTTATATGTTTTTTTCATGTTATAGCGCCACCTAGTGTTTGATCGTTGCGATTTTTTTACTGTGACCTCAGATTGAACTCATTCACATGTGTACCAAGTTTGGTGAAGCTATCTCATTTCCTTATCGAGTTATAGCCATTTTAGTAAAATAGGCTCCTCCCACAATGTTCATTTTGCGCCCCCTAGCGACCGAAAATCGAAATTTCAACTTTTTTTCAATAATTATTAACAATCAGACTCCAAAGAACATTTCTGCACTGGTTTGGTTCCGATCGGACAAAAAACCAGGGACTAGTTCGCAAAAGTAGTTTTTTGACAAAATTCAAAATGGCGGAAAATCTATATTGGCGGAAATTAAATCGGAGATATACGTTTTTTTCGTCAGGTGACCAGCTTTCCAGTGATATAAGACACTTGAGTCTACGACTTACGGTCTAGGAGTTATGAGCAGTTTTGTGCAATTGATTGCTATAGCGCCACCTATGGGCCAATCGGGCTCATAATTTGATAACCTCTCCTCGATTTTTGTACTACCTACTGGCCAAGTTTCAAGTCTCTAGCACTTACGGTTTGGGCTGCACGATGCGTTTTACGGCGGAAGAAAAATAATAATAATAATAATAATAATAATAATAATAAAAATCAGTACAAATACAATAGGTTTTCAGCACTTCGTGCTTGAACACCTAATAATAATAATAATAATAATAAAAATCAGTACAAATACAATAGGTTTTCAGCACTTCGTGCTTGAACACCTAAAAATAATAAAAATCAGTACAGATACAATAGGTTTTCAGCACTTCGTGCTTGAACACCTAAAAATCAGGACGATTACAATAGGTTTTCAGCACTTCGTGCTTGAACACCTAATCAGCACTTCGTGCTTGAACACCTAATAATAGGGGACCTTTTTGACAGTTATAGCGCCACCTATGGTCCGATCTCCATGAAACTCTGCATGCTTCTTCACCATGTTAGGACACATATGCTCATCAATTTTTGTGAAGTTCTGAGTTTTCATTTATGATTTATAGGCTTTTGAGTGCATTTTGACACGCCCCCTTTTCTAAATGACCCTGTTACAGTGAACCAAAGGGCAAAGTTCAACTTTTTTTTGATAATTATTGATCTAGAGAGTCCATAGAATTGTCCTAGACTGGTCTGGTTCCGATCAGGGAAAAAACCAGGGACTAGTTCGCAAAAGTAGGTTTTGGACAAAATTGGCCATAACAAATTTTTTTTTGCTCAAATCGAGAATCCGAGATATACATCTTGTCCGTCTTGAGCCAAGGAACACAGTGGTGTACAAATCTAGATTCTAGGTCAAACGGTCGATGAGTTATGGGCAATTTAGTACTTTTGGTTGCTGTAGCGCCACCTATGGGCCAATCAGGGTCATACTCTGATAGGTTCTCCCCAAACTGAGGCCCTAGCACCTGGCCAGGTTTCAAGTCTCTAGGCCTTACGGTTTGGGCTGCACGATGCGTTTTAGGTTTTTTTTTTTTTTCAAATAGCAATTACAATAGGTTTTCAGCACTTCGTGCTTGAACACCTAATAATAATAAAAATCAGTACAAATACAATAGGTTTTCAGCACTTCGTGCTTGAACACCTAATAAAAATCCTTACAAATACAATAGGTTTTCAGCACTTCGTGCTTGAACACCTAATAATAATAATAAAAATCCTTACAATTACAATAGGTTTTCAGCACTTCGTGCTTGAACACCTAAATATAATAAATATAGGCCTATAAATGAACAGCGTTGGGTAAGTAACACAAGAAAAGTAATTAATTACTAGCTACTAATATATAACTGTATTAATTACTCTCTAAAAAGTAATGCATTACTTATTACTTTCTAAATCCCATTTCAGTCTCGACCAGTTGAACAATATAAGGATAGACATGAAACTTCTTTTAATTCTTTCAAATAAATAATATAAAATTGCATAAATTATTCTTGAACTGACCAAAATATTTAGAAGGGAGAGGGTTACATTAAAATTACATTTTAAACATTAGACGTTAAATTGTGATGTTAAATCTATTGTTTAATATAGGACTGTTCTATACAGTTTTTTTATGCAATTACATCAGAAGTAAATTACAGAAAAATTAAGAGTAATCCCTAACTTGACTTTTTCTAGGGAAAAGTGATTAAATTACGGTAGGCTAATTAATAACTTAGTAATGCATTATATACAACACTGTAAATTAATGTATAATGGGTATCTAGCCATTTTAAATAATTGTTAATGTGCAACAATATACTGCCATTGCATGTGTTTAAGAAAATATTAGGTTATAGAATGGGTGTTATGTACATTTTTACAGTGTTTTTCTTGAGTATTTGATATGTCTGCGTGGGTCTGTAGTGGATGGGAGTGACACCCAGTGAAGGGCTTTTAGACTCCGCCTTCTATGTAAATGAGTCAGTGTGGCGCTGGTGTCCGCGCGCTCAGTCAATGAGCACCGAGACTGGAGGAGTGTCCGACTGTTTACATCTCGTTTCGGGGGGCCGAGAGATATTTTCCTCCAGCATGATGTCGGTGTGGAATTATCGCACTCTCCACCTTTGAGAAATAAACGCGGCCAGCGCAAAAAAAACAGTGACCCGGCGTTGAGTCATGGGAGGCCAGATAACCCGAAACGCATTGTACGGTGAGGAACTGCGTTAAGGATCTACATGCAACCGCTGAATGATGTTCCTTCTGTTTGTACGCTCTGCTTCAGCTGTATTGTACATGATAGATTAATTCAAGAGAATTTGGAATGAAAACGTCTGCCTTTATTATAGCCTACATATTAGACTACTTGCAAGGAATAGAATAAAACACATTCGAGCACAAGTCACAGACTTAATGTAGACTGTATTTAGGTTTCTGGAGATTTTGCGCTCGTGTCAGTGAACGCGCTTTCGACATCAGACGTGTTTCCCCCACAGCAGCTTGAAAGCGTGAGAAAGGGAAGGGATTTTGTGGGGATTCCCTCTGTTGTTGGGAATAAGAAGGATTCACTGCGGGTTTTCCCACAACGTTTCATTTTACTAGGTGATTTACATGCCCGTGAAGCAGCTGGCTCAAAAGAGAATCAAATAAATCAATAAATGAATTGTTTGGTTTTGCATAAAAATGCACGGTTGTCGGTTACTCAAGAGTAGAAAGCCTACAGATATTCCCTGAAATTCATGTTCAGGCTGTTGTGCTGCTCTATATGTTTTGGCAAGCTATTCTAACATGTATTTCTTGCTTTGCAATTTCCAACTAGTATCTGTTTTTATGTCATTGCTTGATAGATAGATAGATAGATAGATAGATAGATAGATAGATAGATAGATAGATAGATAGATAGATAGATAGATAGATAGATAGATAGAGCTGGTACAGGATGATTTCCGTTGGCCTGCAGGGTGAATGGGTGAATAAGCTTCCTTGTTGGATGTGTGGCTGTAACTGAAACAGACTGTGAGCAGTTGGTTTATGTAAATCTCTCTGTCTTACTGGCCTGGATGAGTTAATCTGAACCCTTGGTGGATCAGACTCACTTGATCATTAATTCTAATTAAAGCACTATATCCCATCCAATTAGGTAAACAGGGACTAGAGATATGACAGTCCAGTATGTGTAGTAGCACCTGGTGTTAGTGCACTGGTTCGAAATGTACTGAGTAAACCCCTGAGGAAATGTATGAATCAAAATAAATAAATAATTAAATAAATCGCATCGCAAAACCACAATGAGCAACGTGAGTGCAACAGCGTACATAAAAAAAAACAGTCAGCTCTCAAATGAAAACATTACATTTGATTAGAAGCATAAACAAATATTTAAAAACCATAAAGACACACAAAAAAGCAGTCATTTGGTTGATGGATGCCTTGAACTTGAATTTTATTTTTGGAGAGTATTAAGAAGACAAAAGGAAATGATGGGAAGAGGTGGAAACAGGATTGGGAAATGACGCAAGCCAGATTTGAGCATCATTCTCTTGCTTAACGTATTACAGCACAAGCACTCAGTCCCTTTAAGGCAAGTCATTTCACTCGGCGGCCATCTTTGAAACGCCTTTCAGGCAGATATTTCAGTCATGCAAGTACAACATCTCTTTGAATGGAGAAACATCAAATTCTCCAAAGGTGTTGACCAAGCTTACCATTCAATTCCCTATTTGAAATCACCAATGAAATCTGACAACAACTCCCTTATAAATTTTGTTTCTAACCAGCCAAATTTTCTAACCAACCATTGGACCAGCCAATGCGCTTGTGAAGCCATAATCACACGTCTCTCACAATGACTTCACCAATTGGCGATTGTTTTATTTAGAAGGTGCGACTTATTCCGTCATATTGCGTGTTGCACTTTCTCCCATTCAAAGTTATGTCTTTGACTAGGCTGCTGCTCTTCTGCCTCAACAATGTTTTTAGTTTGTCTTTTTAAAAAAAAATTGGTCATAACTTTCTGGTTTCTCTTTCCAGTTCCATCTGAGTCAGGGCTTGTTTTTCAGTTCTTGTAGCAGGCTGAGAGTGGATATAAATTGCTTATCCGGGTACGCTCACATCTTTCACCTCAGATATGGTAGATAACAGTGCTTTATCTGATCTTTGTATGAAACCAGAGACCATCCAGAACTGTGCACGATTGTCTGGTTTGTAGTGTTTGAGCTGGATAGAGACACTTAATGTACTGTATGTTTGTGTTGTGTGTGTGTGTTTAAGACTGGTGGGTGTTTCTCATGCAACTCTGGAACACATCCTGGCCTCTGAGGCAGGAAAGATATGAATAATTCGGGGTTTTTTTATAAAGTCTGTTAAAAATGGAACATTAGGACAGTTGTTGGATATTTCCTTCTCCACCTTAAACCGTTACAAATATGGAAAGTTAAATGCAAATTGTCAGTGTACTTGTCAGTGTTTTTTGCATATACAAATTCTCTGGTCTATTCTTTTTTTGTACAAGTATTTGATTTGCATATGGTTACATAATTCATGTTGTGCAATAAATGGCAATTGTGCAATTCATTCTTAGTAAGGATGCAACAATATAAAACTGGAAAAAAAATATATTGTTGTTTTAACTTAAAAAGTAACCTGGCTGACTTAACATTTTAAGTTCATTGAAACAATGAAGGAGATTGGTTTAATCAACAGAAACTCAAAATATTAGCCTATTATCTGAACCACATTAGTTGATTTGACAAAAGAAAAAAAAGTTGTGATAAATCATGAAAATAATGTTTTACAGATACATTCCTTAATGATATTAAAATACATAATACTCATATTAATAATTCTATACTATTTTGTCGTTTAAAGTGAATTTAGGCATCACATCATTATAATGTACAATATGAAAAATGGATAAGCGTTTTCATTTCTAGATTTTCTAAATAATTTGTTTACTTTGTTACTAACTTTGCAGTGTCTGTAAAGATTCACTTTCTAAATGTAAAAATAGGAGAAATGAGCATGGACAATTTAAACATCCAACACTAGCCAAAATCCAGCTGAAAACCATTATTATGTAAACTTATGCAAATCAGATGGTGGCACAAATCAGAATAGACCAGGGGTGTATTTCCCAAAAGCATCATTAGCCAACTATGGTCGCAAGTTCCATTGAACTCTATTGCTAACGACGGAACTGATTTTGGGAAACACACGCCAGTATGGCACTGATATTCCGTGCATTCCCAATTCTTACTCATCATTGCCGAATCAATTATTCGCTGCTAATTTGTTTATAACAGCACGGAAAGTATTGTAATTACTGAATCAATTACCAAAGTGTTCTTTTTGAATCCACAGTAAGACAGCCATGCACACAAATAACATGAGGAAACCGTTAGCACTGGAGTTTGTTTGGACTGGGATTTTTAATGGGGCATATTGGGATTGATTATCAGTGATTGGTTGACATACAGACAAGGAGTCAAGGCAAACAGAGGAAGGTCTCTTATCTGTAATCCCTGCTGTGGTTCCACGGCTCAGTTAGTGTGTTGTGTCAGAAACATATGTTTGCAGGTCAGGTGCTGATGCTGCTAAGTAACCGTCTGCTGCACCTCTGCTGAGCACAACATCCTTGATGAGTCACTTAATCCTCGCTCTCACCGCAGAAATCAAATGACACCCCCACACACTGGTGTTTGTGTATACGGATCAGATCACCTAAGAGCCAGCCGGACAGCGCTTAATATGTTCACTCATTCATGATACTTTACTTTATTACAGGGCAAGATAGTTGCTAGCTGGCTTCAGGACACAATTACAAACACGGACATCCACACCCCAGGAACAAAACTAAAACAAAGGACACTTATGTAACCAAAACGGTCAATAATTGTGCTAAATAATACAAATAATGTCACTAAAAAATTGCTAAAATTATATTATTACTTTTATTATAAATCAATAAATACATTATTTATATATATATATATATATAAATAATGTATTAATACAGTGTATATATATAATTTTTTTTTGCATGTTCATTTCTTCTATTTTTACATTTTGATTCACTTCTAGATTGCCATCTAAGACTCATTTAATGTTAATCTTTACAGACAGCAAGGACATGTAAAGACAATCTTTACAATTCAATAACAATGCCAAATGTAGTATTTAGAATATCTCAAAATGAATAATCATTTTTCATACAATACATAATTATTTAAAATGGTGTGATAACTAAATTAACTTTAAACACTTTTATTTTAGCGTTTTATTTTGAATTTGTTTTAAACAAAATATTATAGAATTATAATATCGGCAATTTATCGGTTATCGGTACTAGAATATTGTTGCCTCCCTAAAATAAAATCCCCATACTATATATATTTGTACTACAGTGTAGTTGAAAAGGGCTCTATAATATATATATATATACAGTATATATATATGTACAGTGGGGGAAAGTAGTCAACACTTTTTTTTATTAAACACACTTTCAATGCAGCAATTCACATGAAATTTTGACGAGACATTGGTAATAAAGGATTAGTTCACTTTTAAAAAAACTTTTGCTGATAATTTACTCACCCCCATGTCATCCAAGATGTCCATGTCTTTCTTTCTTCAGTCGAAAAGAAATTAATGTTTTTGATGATTACATTCCAGGATTTTTCTCCATATAATGCACTTTGCTGGGCACCAAACGGTTCAAGGTCTAAATGACCGTTTCAGTGCAGCTTCAAAGGGCTTTAAACGATACCAGACGATGAATAAGGGTCTTATCTAGCGAAACGATCGGTCATTTCAAAAATAAATAAAAAAGTTTAAGTTTTATAAGCTCAAATGCTCGCCTTGCGAACTCTCCTGTTCGAACTCGTTCATCAAAATGAACAAATCTTTTTTCGAGTCAATGACTCGAAAAAAGATTCGTTCATTTTGATGAACGAGTCAATGACTCGAAAAAAGATTCGTTCATTTTGATGAACGAGTTCGAACAGGAGAGTTCGCAAGGCGAGCATTTGTGCCTATAAAACTTAAACTTTTTTATTTATTTTTGAAATGACCGATCGTTTCGCTAGATAAGACCCTTATTCATCGTCTGGTATCGTTTAAAGCCCTTTGAAGCTGCACTGAAACGGTCATTTAGACCTTGAACCGTTTGGCTACTATTGAAGTCCATTATATGGATAAAAATCCTGGAATGTTTTC